CCCCCCCCCCCCCCCAACTATTTATAGATGTTGAGGCCTAATCTTCTTTTGTGCTAACAGGTGAAGCCTCTAAATATTACATATATTTGAATTAAGGCCTATGAATATAGAAGTCTTCATATTCTGCTGACACTGGCACCAGTGTAACTCACTAAATTTGTTGTTACTGGATATTTTTACGAAGTCTATGCGGAAAAGATGAATAGCTGACAATTTCTATTCCAATTTTTTTCTAAAAGCTGTAACTTTAACTCATATTATGTCTATGTTTTAATTTCTTCCCCCACCCACCCATATATCTTCCAGTCCTGTGTTGGAAAGGTCTGAGTCTAGCGATACCACTTTCATCACCAAGATGAAGAACACAGTAAGTCAATGCATTGTTGGGCACTTGGTTTTTCTATTAATACAGGCTTCCTTTTAAGATCTCACTTCTAGTCATCCCCGTTCAAAAAATATTTTATTGGATGGATGGGCTGGGGGATTGCTTAGCAGTCAGTTGTTTTCAGGGTTCCCGTTCAACTGGGAAAGAGGGGGAAAAACCAGGCATTTCATTTTCAGGTTTTGTCGGTCGGGAAATGAGTGGAAACAAAAATATACGGGAGAAAGCTGGGAAATCAAAGGGCTGCCCATCATCATGAATAGCGACTTTGTTTACGTTACAATTATCCTACGACCCCTGTCCTTGTTACAAATTGATATTACATTTCTCTTCATTTCCACTTCCTAGCTCTATCATCTTAAAAATACAAGACAACTTTGAAAATGTTTACAATATCTAAGAGACAACTGGGGAAAAAAACCTGTAAATTTTTACTTGTTGATGAGTGGGAACCCTGTATTTTATTCTTTGCTTAACTCTTCATCTTCTTAGACGGTTTGTCCACTATGCCAAAGCCCTCGTTAGGTATGCAACCTGAGATTGACCTATTTTGGCAATTGCCAAAAATTAATATAATGTCATCAAGAGATAACGCAATTTGCTTGAGCCGCTGACAGTGGATCAATGGTACAGTGGTTCAGACTGCAAGCCGCTGAGAGTGGCTTGCCTCAGATAAAGAGTTAATGTTGTACCTTGACCTTTTCAAGTGAAGAAAAATGTTGCGTCTTAGCACAATGGATTTAAAGTGCCTGAATGAACACTCAATTTGCATAATTGCATACCACCCAGACTAATTTCATCAGTCAATCCCACTGACTGACCATTTTCCCTAACTGGGGCAGTTGGGGACAGAGAGAACATTTGGACTGTGTGGGCGTGTTGGCTTCTGATTGTTTCTCTTTCATGACATAGTTTGATGTGCCTGAGATGTTTATAGTCAGGTGAGACCTGAATATTGTGAAGAGTGTTTGGTGGTGTCTCTTTTTTTCTTTTTTTGGGGGGGAGGGGGGGGGTAAGTCTTTTATGGCGCTTGCAATTGCATAAGGTCATATGAACGCATGGGACACATTAAACATTTTCTGTTTGATGAGAATTTTGAATTTTGCTCAAGTGGCGGCCAAAGCACACTCTTTTCGATATTAGGACCACCAAGGGATCTTTAACATGCGCAACTTGCACACGAGACCTCCAAGATTTTTCGCCTTATTTGAGAAGACTAGGTCTGTGATCTTTCCAGCCATAAGATCAGGGGTGTGGCTGAAAGACAGCAGTAAGAAGGAGCCAAAGAGTAGCATCAGAAAGGCTGCAGAAAGAGTCAGGAACCCAGAGAAGGGGGCAGAAAGTGGGGGGGGGAGCAGAAAGTTGAGCTGAAAGGAGACGACAGAGAATGGTTAGAGAGCGGGAAAGGAGGTGAAAGATGTAAATTTTTAAAAAGAAAATTATCAGTCCCTGTCATGTTTCGGACCAGTGACCTATTGAATGAGTGGCGAATATTTTTACTTCAAGCCGTAAGAGCCCCTGTTATGTCTCTGTCACATCTTTTTATATAAATATGCATACACATACATATATAATACGTATAAATGAATTTATTTCCTCCAGTGAGCATTTCTGCCACAATGTGGTGCGATTGATTGTGTTCATATGCTGTGAAAAAAATTAATGACGCCAATTATTCATCTTTATATTGAACGTAAGCTTGGGTTTCAAGGAGGGGAGTGGGGGGATAAAGGAGAGAGAAGTTGAGGCGGAGGGGGGGGGGGGAGTGCCACTGGTAAGCCATGACCCACTTTTGAGTATGATAAACGCTTTAAACATTCAATGTATAAAAGGTTTTTTTTTACTATCTTTTGTGGCTGACTGAGCTGTGTTAATGTTAGTTCTTCTCCTCAGCTGTCACGCTTTCCCCCACATTATCACTGTCTGGGGAAAATGCAAGGTGGCATCTGTAGTTTGTCCTTTTCCTCTCCTATTCCCTTTGGGTTTTTTGTCTGATGACTCCCCTTTTTTTTTTACCTCGCTGATGGCAGGAGGGTGCGACTGACTGTTAGATCCTTTGTCTCTTTTTCCCCTCTGGCCTGACTTACTTTTTTCCCTGCTCTCTATGGCAGGTGGGTGGTTGGCGGGTGGTCTGGTATGGTTTGCTCCTTCTGTCCTATAAAAAGTCTACTGTCTCTATCTCCCCTCCTTCCTTTTTGTGTTTGTTACTCTCTTGTAACACCTCTAATCTTCGGCACTTATATGACCTTATTGTGTTGCTTGCAAGTGCAGTAAGACTCCTACTAAAATTAAAACTAGAAAATCTCTATGGCAGTGATTGTGACGACATGCCTTCTCCTTTCACTCTTTATTATATACATGGGTCTCAATATTCTTCTATTTAGCGGATTACCGCTACCGCCATTTCCTCTGCTAAACTCCGTTACCGTTACTCTTTTACTTGAAATTATCTTCCAAACCCTCAAATTGGTATGAAGTAACCTAGCTTTGATAAATTAGTTGCATTCTAGAGTTAAACAGTATGATGATAATGGGTGTCTCGCAAAAATGGTCTTCTGTCGCGATCATGAGGAAAGTTCCTTCTTTTTAAAAATTCTGAGTTGAGACCCATGTATATATGTGTGTGTATATATATTTATATATATATATATATATATATATATATATATATATATATATATATATATATATATATATATAGATAGATATATATAGATATATATATATAGATATATATATAGATATATATATATAGATATATATATATATAAAATTGCAGCTGTGACAGAGACACAATGGGGGGCTCTGACGGTCTTGAGGTTACGATATTCACCGCTCATTCAATAGTGATAGTGACTTCATCCCTTTTCCTTTCACTCTCTCAAACAAAGGGTTAGTTACTATTGTTCTGTCCTTTGTTCTGCTAAAATACTTCTTCATTCAAATATTTTACTGCTCGTTGACTCAATTATTAGTTCAGCAGTTGATTCATATATGATTTTTACTGATTAATAATTTGAAACTGAAATAGAAATGTGTTCTTACTCTCTCCCTTCTCTCTCCTCCCCCTCTCCCCCCTTCTCCCATTTGCCCTCTTCCTTTCTTCCCTTCTTCCCCCATCTTCTCCCCCCTTCCCCCACCCCATTCTCCCTTTCCCCTACCCACCCCACCTCTTCCCGTCTCCCCCCCCCCCCTCACCCACACCTCCCCACCTTTCCCCTGTCCCCTCTTCATTCCTTCCCCATCTTCCCTCACCTCTCCCCCCAACCCCCCTCCCCTCCCCCTCCCTCTCCCCCTCCCTCTTCCCTTCCCCCTCCCCCTCCCCTCCAGAACCGTAATGTGATCGTGTTCTACGGGTCTCAGACCGGCACAGCCGAGGAGTTTGCCACACGTCTGGCCAAAGACGCCTCCAGATACGGCATGAAGGGGATGGTGGCCGACCCAGAGGAGTGTGATATGGTAGGTTGTTGTTGTGTTATTGTTGTTGTTGTTGTTGTTTTGGGGATGGCTGTTGGGATGCTCGTCTTTACAAATTTGAAGGGATCATAATGATTTTTATTCCGTTTTACAAAAGCACAATCATATTACACGGATTTGGATCTTTAAGAATATTCAGCTACCCCAACACACTGCTAACCTTCCCGCTCGTAAGAAGAGATGAACTACTAGACCCGGACAGTGTACGTCACTATGTCACATGCAGCTGTTTAACTTTAAAATCCTCATAGCATTGAGTCCTTATTGTTGCTCAGTGCCCGCTTTGTCCTAAGGAAAACAGACCTTAGAAGTGTCAAATGCAGGAGTAAGGCAAACATTAGATTAACAAGGTGTTACAAAATTCCTGCCCTTTCATGTTATGAATCTCAGGCTAAGCCTATGAGAAAATTTTATAAAAAAGAATCTTTGAAACTTGAAATAATTAGCATGCTGTGTGCAATGCATTGTGTGCTGTGATGCACAATCAAGATCAAAGACTTGTGACGAATTTTGTAGTTCCAAAGGTTTCTTTTGTTTTTGCAAGCCGTAACCCACCTCCCCTCCCTTTTTTTCCCCCTAACTTGACAAAAATGTTTTTTTCATCACTCTTTTGTTTATGTTACATTTATACTTTCCTACAACCCTGGTCCTTGACAACCCAGGGAAGAAACCAATCCATGGCCTTATTACAAAATTTTAGGCCAAATTACTCCTGTAGCTGGGTTGTTTTTGTTGTGGGGATGGGTAGTTGTTGTTGTTGTTGTTGTGTTAAAAGCTTGGTTATCGATAGGTTGTGTTGTTCGGGATTTTATGGCTTAAAATTTTTAAAGACTGGCTGTTGGGTGGTTGGCTGACTCCATTGTTAGGTCCTTCTTCACTACCTCCGTCCTCTTTCTCCCCACCCTTGACCTTGTTGTGTTGCAAGTGCCGCAAAACTCTTACTTAAACTAAAATAAAAGACTTCTAAATTTAAAAAATCATCTGTCTCTATATCTCTGATAAGTTTACTAGATTCATCTTATTGAAGAAACACTGGATGGATCCAGATCTTTCACAAATGTGATCTAGAAAAGTGCCGTGTAGATCTTGGGTGGAAAACTGTTGTTTGACTTACCCACCTCACACTGTTCCCCACCTTAAAATCAATTGGGTAAGTGGTTGGCAGGTGCTCTGGTCTGGTTTGTTTCTTAAATTCTTTCCTATCAAACATCTATCCTCCTTATCTCCCCTCCTTCATTTTTATGTTTGTTACTCTCTTGTAACAACTCTAATCTTTTGGCGCTCATATGGCCTTATGCAGTTGCGAGTGCCATAAAACCTCTACTAAAACTAAAACAAAATCTATTGGAACATTCATTCTTTCACTTTCTCCTCTCCTCCTTAATTTATTGGAAATATTCTTTTACTTTTCCCCCTCCTCCTCTCCTCCCCTCCCCGCCCCACCCCCCAGGAGGACCTGAGTAAGCTGGCAGATATAGAGAACAGCCTGGCCATCTTCTGTATGGCCACCTACGGCGAGGGCGACCCCACGGACAATGCCCAGGAGTTCCACGAGTTTCTCAATGGGGGAGACGCTGACCTTTCCGGCATCAGATACTCTGTGAGTGTGTTTGTGTGTGAAAGGTGGGAGGTTATGGTTTTAGATACTCAACAAAAGCAAGACAAATGAACAGGCTTTAAGATGATACCAATAGCTCCACATGTCCAAGAATTAACGTGCCCCTGATTCAACTGTCGTGACACATGCTATTATGTAACCACAGGCTGGTAAATTGGCGTCTCCATTTGTCTACTGGGATGATGTATCCCTCTCGGTCCTGATCGGCAGGTTCAAAATAGTCTGCTTCCTAAATGATTTTAAAAAATGTGGATGGGGAATATGTTTAAAAAATTGTGCAAAATTGTGAAGATTTAACGCCCCACGCAACACGTGTGTACGGCTATTTCAGAGGCAAGATAGGAGGACATACAACACCAACAATGGCAATTTTGTTTTAAATAGTACGCTGTGGTATAATGTTTTCACATGAACGTCTCAAACTGACTGTATACTGCCTTGTTTCAGGTGTTTGGTCTGGGCAACAAGACGTACGAGCACTACAACTCCATGGGCAAGTTTGTGGACAAACGACTCGGGGAGCTGGGGGGCGAGAGGGTCTTTGAGCTGGGCCTGGGAGACGATGACGCAAAGTAAGCCTCTTCTGTCTCAGACTTTGTTGTGTTTTTCGGGGATTCTGTCTTTTGTCTTGTTTTGTGTGGGTGGTTGGCAGGTGCTCTGGTGTGGTTTGCTCCTTCTTTCCTATCAAACGTCTGTCATCTTTAATTCCCCTCCTTCTTTTTTGTGTTTGTTACTCTCTTGTAACACCTCTAATCTTTGGCTCTTATACAACCTTATTGTGTTGCAAGTGCCGTAAAACTCTTACTAAAACTAATCAGAGTTTGTCATGTTTTGTTTGGGTTCTGTGGAAGGTCATGTGATGTTTTGTTTGGATTCTTTCACGCTTTGTGTGGGTGGTTGGCGGGTGCTCTGGTGTGGTTTGCTTCTTCTTTCCTATCAAACATCTATCATCCTTATCTCCCCTTCATTTTTCTTATGTTTGTTACTCTCTTGTAACACCTAATCTTCTGGCGCTCATATGACCTTATGCAGTTGCGAGCGCCGAAAAAACCCTACTAAACTAAAACTAAACTTTCACACTTTGTTATGTTTTGTTTGGATTCTGTGGGAGATCTTGTTGTGTGGGTTTTTTTTTATTCTGCTCAGAGACTTCATCCTGTTTTGTTTGGATTCTGTGTGATAACTTGTGGTGTTTTGCTTTATTTCCTCTCTGGGGCTGGTGTTCTTTTTGGTTTCTGTGTTTAAAGACTTAACAAAGTATAATTTTGTTTGTCTCAGTCTTATGTGTCTTGCTTTATTTCAGAGGTTTTGTTTTCTTTTGATTCTGTCTCAGATATTTTGGTGTTTTGTTTTCTTTTCTTTCTGTCTGAGGCTGGTGTTTCAGGGTTATCGATGGTTGCTCTGGTGTGGTTTACTCCTTTTTCCTATCAAACATCTGTCGTCAGTATCCCTCTTCCTTCTTCTTTCGTGTTTGTTACTTTCTTTTAACACCTAATCTTTGGCACTCATATGACCTAATTGTGTTTAAAGTACCGTAAAACTCTAACTGAAATAAAAAGAAATAAAAGTCTGGTGTTTCATATCTCCCTGGCCCTCTCTCTCTCTGTTCACCAGTATTGAGGAAGATTTTGTGACGTGGAAGGAAAAGTTCTGGCCTGCCGTGTGTGCTTACTTTGGTGTGGAGGCCACAGGGGAGAATGTCAAGTAAGTGTGTGTGTGGGGGATTGTGTGTGTGTGTGTGTGTGTGTGTGTGTGTGTGTGTGTGTGTGTGTGTGTAAGCTCATTTTCCCTTCATTAGTAGAAGGATGATTTGTGGACTTCTGTGCTCATGTCTTTAGATGACATTAATTGTTGTTTTCTTTGGTCAATTTCTTTTCTTTGTTACCTTCTTTTTCTCCTTCATCCTTTCCTTCTCTCTCTCATTTACATTCCACTTTACCTCCAGGTCAATTGCTCTACCATTGAAAAGGCAGGAAGAGCTTTGTTTAGCAGAGTCAGCCATAAAATTGAAATGAAAGTAAAACAAACATTTAAATTTTAACAAATTAAAACATGTTACTTTTATTTTTCAAACTTATACAATCAGTCTTTCATGCCTGTGGTGATTGGAGAGAGCCACTGGCAGGTCCTACTTCTTTTTTTTTTTCTACCTCTGTTGCTTCCCTCTGTCTGTCTTTCTCTTCCCTTGCTCTACATACCTATTCTTATGTCAATGTGCTTTTTGATCAAAGTTAACTTGCCCATTTGGAACTAACTTTGACTGTTGTGCACATTAAAAGTCTCCATTGTGGGTGGTTGGCAGGTGCTCTGGAGTGGTTTGCTTCTTCTTTCCTATCAAACACCTATCATCCTTATCTTCCTTCCTTCTTTTTTATGTTTGTTATTCCCCTGTAACGCCTCTAATCTCCTGGCGCTCCTTTGACTTAATGCAGTTGCAAGCGCCGTAAAACCTCTACTAAAACTAAACTAAACTAAAAAGTCTCCATTCTCAATGGGGCCACATTTAAGTCACAGTAGTATCATGCACAAAAGATGTTTTTAAGAGGTTGTTTTGTTGTTGGGGGGGGGGGGGGGGGGTTGTGTTTTTTTTTTGGGGGGTGTCAAGTCCAAATAACCTTTACCAGCATTTCTATACTCAAATAAACAACCATGATGCCTTGAGTGGACGACTGTAAAGGACCCTGTGTTCTGATGTGCTGATCTCCCTCTCCTCCCCCTCCCCCAGCACCCGCCAATACGAGCTGGGAACAGTAGCAGAGGACCTGTCCAAAGAGAAGGTCTTTAATGGAGAACCTGCCAGGCTGGGCTCGTACAACACACAGAAACCGTAAGTTTGTGTTTGTTTCAGATTCCTGAAAAGATTTGTATGTTTGTTTTTATTTCAGAGCCCTGAAAAAAATTGTTGTGTGCAAGATCTAAACAAAAATTTTTTAATGTTGCATAGTTCTCAGAAAGTGTGGATTGTGTATCCTAGTGTGTCATACTGTAAAAGTTTCAGGACACTCAATGAAGCAGGAAGAACATTCAAACATTTCCGGAGCTACCTACTGTCTTGTACTTAATACGTTTTTCTAGTTTTGAGATTGTTTTTAAAGCACTGAATTTCTGCCTAGATTAAAGAAATCATTAAAATATTCTGCAGCACATTTGCTTTAAATGAAATGATTTTGGGATCAAGGGGAAGATTTTCCCACTTCACAGCTGTTGCAAAAGCTTAGCATTCAGCTCTCTATTAATTTGTTTTTTTAGATTGTTATGTAGGTTATTGTTAGTGAAGAATATTGTGGCAGATTCACAACATAAATAAAATCTATATTCTCTGTGGTAGGAAGATGTCTTTTGAAATGTTCCTGCTGTGTTAAAAAAAATTATTTATGGGTTTTGTTGGCGTCGGTGGCCTAATGGTTAGGCTACCGGACTCGTAATCGTGGGGTTCAGGGGTTCGAGCTGCAGGCCGGCAATGTGTCCTTGGGAAAGGCACTTTACCCGAATTTTCATCATTTCACCCAGGTGGGAATGGGTACCCACCTGGCCATAGACGGCGAAAGATCTTGTCAGAATGTTAGTGTTTTAGTGCCTATAAATGGCAGCTTGCGCTGTATGCTTCCCACGAAGTTGAAGTTGTTTCAGAATGCTCTCAGGTCTGCTGGTGAAATAGTATAGATTTTAAAGCGCATAGAGCTTGATGTTGAGCAGGGATTTGCCCTATACAAATGCTATCTATTATTATAATTATTATTATTATGACTTTCCTGTTGTGTCTTGAAATTTTCCTGTGTTTTAAAACAAGTTATTTCATGTTTTGAAACTGTGTTTTTAAAATTCTCCTGTTGAGTTTTGAAACTTTCCCATTGTGTTTTGACAGGCCGTATGATGTTAAGAACCCGTACATGTCCCCCATCGCTGTGAACAGAGAACTCCACAAGGACAGTGGCCGGTCCTGTATGCACATAGAGCTGGACATCTCGGAGTCAAAGATCAGGTAGGGGAATGGGAACCTGGAGATGGACACATGCTTAACCCTCATCCTGCGGGGGCCGGGTTTATGTCGCCTGATAAGCCTATTTCGGCACCTCGCCTATGTTCTGGTCCCGAATCAGTGTAGCTCCAGGCTCAGCGCACGCGCAGCGCACATCCTCTTACGTATCATTCGGGTCCCGAGTCGGATCCCCATTCATGCAGGTCAAGTGTGTGTGCGTCAGTCTGCTTGAGTTTGTGTGCGTTTGTGGCCTTCTTCTAGAACCGCCTGCGTTGGTTCGTAATCGAGGCATACGTCTCATTCAAAACATGCCAAGTTGGTAGCTTTAGATGTTCGTCCAATGAAATTATGACTTAGACATGAAGAGCTTGAAAGGATAGTCAGGAAACAAGACTTCCATTTTACGTTGCAAAATATTTCAAATGAGCTTGATTTTGTATGAAATGATACTACCTGATAAAAAATAAGCTTGTTTGATAGTTTTGAATACCATTGTGCAGGTACAAAGAACAATTTGAGTGTAAAACATTCGGAAATTGACCTAAATTATACCCTTTCGAACCTCAGGTCATTCATAACAACAAGAGCATCCAGAAAGGTTATTCGAATGGGCGTAACTACTCGTAATGTCTCATCAGCTTGTGAGAGGGGGTTATTCATGTGTTTGTAACACTTTATAAATAGAAAGCTATGAAAGATAGAGCGTTATTTTCATCATCGGTTAACACACTCCCACGGTATTCATGGCGAAAACAAACGTTTCCCGGCGCGCGCGCTGTACACCAACAGTACACACTGAGTGACCCCGGCGGTCTGCCCGGCACGTCCGACGTAATGGGTTGCTGATAAGATACGCATCTGGGCACAGACGCAGGATAAGAGTTAATTCATTCAGGGCGTAATTTAATTCTGAACATTAAACCTCTTGGATCTTTCTTTGTGACCCCCATAAATTGATTTGAGGGTCTGGAAATACTTTACTTTTCCGTTCCAGCTGCCGTCCAAGTTCTAGCCTTTTGGCCTGCCAATATGGCAAAGAATAGGGTATGGAAATAAAATGGCTTCTACAGTTGTCTAGTAAACATTATAATTGCTTTTTATATATAATATATCATTGGAAATGTGATTGAATGTTGGCATTTACTGATGTTAGAAAAGCAATAGACTGGAAATAATGAAACAAACTATGGACCCTGTTGAAATAACTGATGTGTGTAACGACGGGGTGGAAGAAGGCGCTTGTCAGTTGTCGGGCCTATGGAGTGATTGGTATCATCTGAAAGTTTGTTTATTTGCCTTTCATTCGATGAAAGATATTACTCATTTAGTCTTCGATAGGAGTCGAGGTATATTGAATTGAAGGAGGTATGGTTTAACCCGGTCCGAGAGTTAAAATTAGTTTGAACAGTCTGGCAAAATGTCTTTACCTCCAATGCTTGAGAGTCCTTGGAAACTGTAAATTACATTTTTTCTTCCTTTAATCAAATTTTTTCAGTGAAATACACAGAGATGTATGTTTTTAAGAGGAAAGAAAAGGTGTTAAGGTTATAAGTAAAAATTTTATTATAATTGTCAAACAGAATAAAAAATAGAGTTTACTTCGATTTCATGATTATGACGAACACCTGGTCTCACCACAATGCCTCACATATTTTTGCAATTCATTTGAGATAGAGTTAATGAGAAATGTGGTTAAAATATTTCATGAAACTTTTACAAGTGAAGGCTCAGATATCTCAGTTTTTGTAATAAAAAAATATCTTTTGATTTTTTTAGGGTATTTGGCAGGTCTGTCATACTGTCTCTATTTAGTTAAAGCCACCAATAGAGTCTACGATGTATGGTGTTGCTGTTAGGCTCTTTTCCGTCACACACAGAAGACATGAGGTCAGTTCCCATGTATTGATAAATTGTATAGAGTATATCCATTTTTCTTCTGGGACATTGTATCCCTCTCAGCCCAGTTGGCCCTGACAGATAGGGTTGAAACATGCCCCCCTGAATTATCTAAATTGTGTTCATGGTGGCATGGAAATACTTATTCTGAAAAGAACAAAAAACGATTGGAATGTATTTTTGAAACTTGAACTTTGTGTTTGTCCCTCAGATATGAGAGTGGTGACCACGTTGCCATATACCCCATCAACGATACTGAGATCGTGGAGAAGATTGGAAAGAGATTGGGAGTGGATTTGGATGAGGTGTTTACCCTCAACAACATTGACGGTACATGCAACAACTTTTTAAAACTGTGGTGTTGTTGGTTCTGGACTTATTTTGTTGTCTTGTCTGTTGTATTGTTAGAAGCTCTCTTGAGATGGACTAATGGGGGTTCAAATTTAGAGAAACTTTTTCCTGTTGACTTTTTTTTTTTTTATTTTTTCTTTTTCTTTTTTTTTAGATTTTAGAGAGGTTTTTCTGTTTTTCTGAAACTCAGGGCTTTTTTTTTTTCATGCTGACATTCAGAAAATTTGTTTTGTTTGCTGACATTCAGAGAAATGTTTTTGTTGGCATTCACATTCTTAACAACAGTCCTGTCAACTCTTCATCCATGGATAATTGAGAGGGAGAGGGAAAGAACAGGATCATCTCTACGTCTGATTGGGTGGAAAGGTGTTCTGAACAATGACAGTCCATAGAATTATACACTTTGTTTCACATGTACTCTTTGTGTGCTATTTCTGTGTGTCTTTACATCCCAGTGATTGGCTGGCGGGTGCTCTGGTGTGATTATGCTTCGTCTAGCCTATCAAATATCTTTCATCCTATTCTCTCCCCTTTCTTTTCTCCTTCCGTTACTCTCTTGTAATACCTCTAATCAACTGCACTTGTATGACCTGTTTGTGTTCCAAGTGCCTACATGTACTCATCCTCTGCCTCTCTTTCCACATCCTTCATTCCCCCCCCCACCCCCCACCCCCCCCACCCCCCAATCTACTGACAGAGGACGCCAGCAAGAAACATCCTTTCCCATGCCCGTGTTCGTACCGTACAGCCCTGACGCACTACGTGGACATCATGAACCCACCACGCACACACGTGCTGGGTGAGCTGGCCGAGTACACGGAGGTGGCCAAGGACAAGGAGTTTCTGCAGAAGATGACGCAGGCCACAGAAGAGGGCAAGGTAATGGGGGGGTTTGGTACATGTTTTGTTTGTATTTTCATATGAAGTGGCTGTGCTCTAGTCAAATATGACAGATACTTTAAAAACACCATGCAAGCACTTGGTCCTGATCATCCTGATTAGGGTCAAATAAAGAAAACAAAATGATACGAATAAGTTATGGGATTGTTGAGATAGGTCATTTACATCATGATAGCGTAGATTCTTTAAAAGGCATTTTGACTGCAACAGCTACAAATTGTATAAGTTAGGTAAAATATACACACCAATGAAACCAAGCGTCTCCTATAGGTAGGGCAATGCCCACTTTTGGTGTAGGTCAAGATTTCCGGAAACCCCCTGAAATCTGGGATGTCCTGCTTGTCCTTAAAAGCAACCATGTATGAACGTGCGGAACAAATTAACTCACTTCAGACTGGGCCCTTTCACCAGTCACAAGCGTTGAAGACTGGCGTTTTTCGGAGTATTTCAATAAATCACCACAACTCTCAGAATTACCCTATTGTAATTATTTTTTGACACAGTAAAATAACATTCAAGCTTAATCTAACACAAAAAACTAAAGTTGTCTAAGTCTAATACTTTAATTTATATGATTTTTAAAAAATTGGCATGAATTTGATTTTCCTAAAAATTTTCACAGACATGACAGGTAGAATGAAATTCACAACAACAAAAATTAAAGTTCAAAGTGTTGTATCTTGATTTGTATGCATGTGTGAGTGTTTGGTTCAAGTATAAAAGCTGGTCTGTACGTTGATTCAGACCCATGCACTGAATTACGTGAGACAGATGTACGGCACGACTTTGTGATTTCGCTGCGCGAACAACAACACCAGTACTAGTGCTAGATCTAGCCCTAAAACTACGACTCAGGCCGTGTTCGGGTACATATCCAGGGTCTTAAGTATCAGACACATCATATTCTGAGACACTAGAACTAGTAAAACGTACAGAAGTATCGAAAACGGCGAAATTATGTGATTCTTGTTCATGCGACTTCTTTGACCGTTACTACGACGCGACTGTCAGATTACTATCAGCTGTATAGAAAAAAACAAAGCGCGAGTTCCAGTCAGTTCAACCCCAGTTGGGGTCACTGTCCTTCACCTTCAATAACTTAAAAACTACGGGTCCCAGAGATACGAAACGAAGTCTAAGTAGCTCAAGCTTGGACAAACAAGGGTACGAGGCGGGTCCCGCGATCCGTGCGTGATTTGTAGAACGAAAAAAAAATCCAAAGTTGGTCATGCAGGGCTCGTGGGAGCCGTCGCGAGCGTCGCGGCGGGGGTTACGCAGTGAGTTAAACATTTTCAGTTTTGATAGGAATTCATTTTGAATTTTGCCTGGGAGGCAGCTAAAGCCTACTCTTATCAATTTAGGGCCACTAAGGAATCTTTATCTGCCTTCTCTGTACTCAATCAAACCTGTGTTGTTCACTAGGGTCTCTACCTGGACTGGATCGCCAAGGACCACCGGAACATTCTGGCTGTTCTAGAAGACATCCCATCCCTGAAACCTCCACTGGACCACATCTGTGAACTGTTGCCTCGGTTACAGCCCCGCTTCTACTCCATCTCCTCCTCTCCCAAGGTACTTGACTGTGTTGTTGTTGTTGTTGTTGTTTTATTGTAATAAAATAATATTTTATAATAAAATAATATACACAACGCAATTCGCAAATACGTAAATGGATATATAGTCATTTACACATAACATTGAACATGAATCTACTAACATAAAAATGATGTCATTAAATGTGTCTTTAAAGATTTTTTTGATTTAGACTCAGATGTTGTATGTCTCAAGGGTTGGGGAAGAGGTTTCCAAACTGATGGAGCAAGGTGGGCAAACCATCTTTAAGCTAATTTGTTACCCCCTTTTCTAGGAACTCTTAAAAGATACTGATCGCCTGATCTTATTGATCTAGATTATAGCTGTTGCCATGGTTTCAGCTTCACTCTACTCCGTCTCCTCCTCTCTCAAAGTACATAATGTGACTGACTGTGTTGTTGTACTTTTTGTTGCAGTTGTTGTTCTTGTTGTTGCAGCCTTGCTTCTACCCAATCTCTACTTCTCCCAAAGTGTACCATGGGATTGTGATACTGAGTGTTGTTGTTATGGATATTGTTGCTGCCGCTTTTGTTGTGGTTGTTGGTGATGTAATTTCTGCTGCTGCTGTTGTTGCTGGCTGGTTCCTGTGCAAGGATGTAAATGATATGTTTAAAAAAAAGTTGAATGTCTTTAAGAGAAAGTAGAGTAAAGCCATCAAAGTGTTATTACTGTTTACATGTCGTATTTGTCAGATCAGCGTGTTCACCTTAGCACACACCCATTCATACATAGTGCCCAATTAATTTGCCAAAATTTGAATGTCTCCCAATTTGCAAAAAAAATAAAGTTTGAAGAAAAAATGCCGGTGAAACCTTTCATTGCAACCCAAAAATGAAAGTGAAACCAAAATTTATAGACCTCAAGCATTTATGGATTAATGTATATCAATGTTTTCCCCTTTTTCTTTTCTCTTCACCCAAACACCCAATTTCCCCCCCCCCCCCCCCCCCCCCCACACACACACACACACACATACACACAAACCTGTACACACGAACACGAAACACAACCCCCCCCCCCCCCCCCAGATGTACCCCAAGAGCATCCACGTGACAGCCGTGGTGGTGGAGTACACGACCCCCACCAACCGACTGACCAAGGGCGTCTGCACGGCCTGGCTGTCCACCAAGAAGCCTGGCACTGGAGGCAACGGACCCCTTCCCCGCGTGCCCATCTACGTGCGCAAGTCTCAGTTCCGACTGCCCTTCAAGCCCACCACCCCGGTCATCATGGTCGGGCCCGGCACAGGGCTGGCGCCGTTCCGAGGATTCATTCAGGAGAGGTCTTACTTCAAGGGAGAAGGTAGGGACGGCACACACAGAGGCATGAGCTCTGCGCTATCTTGTTCTTATTCCTATTTATCAGGTTTGGATGTAAATTACTTTGAATGGGTGGTTGGTGGGTGCCCTGGTGTGGTTTGCTCCTTCTCTCTTATCAGACATATATCGGTGGGTGGTTGGCGGGTGCTCTTGTGTGGTTTGCTTCTTCTTTCCTATCAAACATCTATTGTCCTTATCTCCCCTTCTTCTTTTTTATGTTTGTTACTCTCTTGTAACACTTCTAATTTTCTGGCGCTCATATGACCTAATGCAAATGCGAGCGCCGTGAAACCTGTACTAAAACTAAACTAAGACATATATCGTCCTGATCTCTTCACCTTGTTTTTTGTTTGTTACTCACTTGTAATACCTCTAACCTTCAGCACTTCTATGACCTGATTGTGTTGCAAGTGCTTTAAAACTCTCACTAAACTAAAACTGAATTACTTTGAAAGTACTGAATTCCAACAGTGAAAACAGGAATTAGTAGGCTACAAAATAAACTGAAATGCTACGGAATAGCGGTATTCACCCTAACGATGTTGGGCTCAGAGGGAAGATTTTCCAACAGCTTTGACAGCTATAACAAAATCTCCCAAAGTTGGACTAAGACTGCACTCCACTGGTGATAGGATTTTGTTGTTTTTAAATGACAAGTTTTTTTGTAGGTTTTTTTTTGTACTTGGGGGCCAGGGGCTGCATAGCTGCCCCATGTCCCGGGCCATCCGTATTTTGTACGGATTTTCTTGAAAAATCGCTGTTGTCCCGGAAATACGGATTTTGACCGACGGTCCCGGAAAATAAAAACTTGTCAAGCATACTTCTAAAACAGAAAAATTAGCCTTCTGTTGCCCGGGAAAATGATGAAAATTCGGGAGAGTTGGTAGGTGTGCAGTTTCGACAAAGTCAGCTGATACGCATGCGTGGCGCTCGGCTTTTTCATTCGTTTGAAAAGATGGCGTCAAAATGTTCGGCAATGAGTTCTAAGTCCGACTCTGGACCAAGTGAAGCAAAGAAACCAAAAAGGCAGCAAGTTTTTCTTGACAAATACAAGATGTCCCTGATAATTACTCAATGTCCCTGATTTTGAGCAAGGCTGTCCCTGATAGCCACGGAGAGGGGTGGGCAGCTATGGGGCCAGGGGCTGTGTTGTGAAGTTATACAATTTTTTTTTTTATAGTAGAGGGTTTTATGGCGCTAGCAACTGCATTAGGTCATGTGAGCGCCAAGTAAGTCGTACAAGACAGATCTGTCTTCAAGGGAGATGGTAATGTCAGGACATACTCTTGGATGTAGTTGTTTTTATTGACACAGTTTTAACACTCCCATTGACATTTTTTTGCAGACACCATCCTGTGCTTTGGTTTGTTTATACCGGCTAGATAAAAGAATATTCCTGGACTCTCACTTTCTCTCTCATTCTGTTCCCGGTCCAGGTAAGCCAATTGGAGACCCCACCTGTCCTTGGTTTGTCCTGGGTAGATAGATATTCCAGAAACTCTCACTTTCTTTTTCTCTCTCTTTCATTTATATTTTGCTTTGTCCAGGCAAGCCTAACAGAGACACCATCCTGTCCTTTGTTTTGTTTATCTCAGATAGATTGGTGAAAAAATATTCCAGAAACACTCACTTTCTCTCTCTCATTCTGTGCCCAGTACTTTTATTAGTTTATCTCAGGTAAATAGATAAATAGATAAAAGAATGTTCCAGAAACTCTCATTTTCTGTCTCATTCTGTCCTCGAGATAGATAAATAGATAAAAGAATGTTCCAGAAACTCTCACTTTCTCTCTCATTCTGTGCTCGGTCCAGGCAAGCCGATCGGAGACACCATCCTGTACTTCGGCTGCAGGAACAAGGCCAACGACTTCATCTACCAGGACGAGATGGAGGACTATGTGAAGCAGGGCGTGCTCAAAATGCACACGGCTTTCTCGCGAGACCAGGCCCAGAAGGTCTACGTACAGCACCTGCTTGACCAGAACCATCAGGAGATCTGGGACGTGCTCAACAACAACGGTCACCTCTACATCTGTGGGTGAGTGCTGGTTGTGTGTGTGTGTGTGTGAAAGAGAGTGAGTGGGTGCAGATTACCCCCTTTTAGAAAATTCTGTTGTCAGTAACATCCACCAAAGAGTATCCAAGACTTGCCTCCTTGGGGGGTGGGGGGGTTGTTGTTGTTGTTAGACAGATACTACTGCACTTTTCCTCTTCTCAAATCTAGCACTGAATTTTGCGTAAGGAGTCATTCTCTTTTCTTTTATACTCTTTAGTTTTTCTGTCTGTCTGTCTGTCTGTCTGTCTGTCTGTCTGTCTGTCTGTCTGTCTAACTCTTACCATACGCTCTATGTGTTATTGTATTGATGTGCATCTCTTTTACTCAAACAAATTGTGGGTGGTTGGTGAAAGCTCCTTCTTTCCCATCAAACATATGGTCTTTATCTCTCCTCTTTCTTTTTCGTGTTTAGTAACTCTTGTAACAACTGAAACCTTCGGCACTTACGTGACCTAACTGTAATACAAGTGCCGTAAATCTCGTACTAAATCTTATTCAAACAAAACAACTGTCTCTCTGTGTATGTTTCCAGAGATGCCAAGAACATGGCTAGAGAGGTGCACTCCATGATCGTCAAGATTCTGACCACCAAAGGGGAGATGAGCACTGAGGCTGCGGAGGATTACATCAAGAAACTGCAGTCCAAGGGCCGCTACTCTGCTGATGTGTGGAGCTAATGAACACATCTACCATGGTGCTATACATTGTAGAATGCCACAACACGCAACCTCGGAATATGGTTGCTTTGTTCTCGCGTATAGCGGTTCCTGAGTCGTTGCCATGGGAACGGGTACTTGACGAGTGACCTTTCTGAGGGCTTTGTGGTGTTTTAGACATAGATTCCCACCCGTATTGTTTTTTTGTTTTTGTTGTGTGTCTGTTGCTCCGGCAATTTCAGTAGCTGTTTTGTGAAAGGAAAGAAACAATGTTTAATGTATTTTTCTGTGTCTGAAAATTATTTCTTTTTTGAGGAAAACTATTATTTCTTTAACGCTTTGCCATCACATCTCGCAAGAACGTTGAACTTCCGCTCCCGTCACAAAACGTCGATAGGCGATGTTTACCCCCCAGTTTCTTTCGATTTTCCCCAAAATGCCTGTGATGGCAAGGATTTTTACTATTTGAGCCTTGTGATGGTAAAGTGTTAACTCATTCATATTAATCATATTATGAATTTTGACAGAGTGATTTTATGTTTTAAGAAGCTTTTTTAGAACTCAGCTTGTGAAAAAGGGGGCATTTTTTTGGGGG